ACAAGACACCCCTCTCCCCCCCAATCGTATTGTACATGAGTAGAGTGAAATAAAATATGAGACACGATTACCTCTTATCGTTCAATCAAAATTAAAAAATAAATAAATAAATAAATTTTAATTTCCTTTATTTTCTTTAAGAAATGCAGCCTTTCTGCTTCGCGGTCACATGCTGCCAAGCGCTAAGGGAAATTTAAGGAAGGGAAATTTGAGGAGGAGAGACAGAGAAAGAAAGAAAGACGTTAGAATCTAATATTTTACAATCTACCATACCACAAATTATTGGTCAGTTTATTAAACTGCAAATTATCTGTCATTAGATAGAAGGCCTCAATATTAGCGAACTTTTTGAAAGATTATAATCGAAAATTTTAGAGGATGAAACGTGGGAGCTATGTCATGGAGCTAAAGAAAATCTTAACACCAGATCCACTCCAGCATGGGTTGTAAAGCTTGAAAAAAAAGGCAAAAAGTACCTTAGCTGTTGGTTTCTAGTCATAGAAAAGAAAATATTGATCTTTTTATTCACCTGTCTCATTAAGAACTCCTCTGAATCTCTTTATCTTGAAATGACATGGGACACTACAGCACTGACTATGCATTTTTGTTGGAAGTCCTTTATAAATTATACTCATGCCTATACCCGCACCTATACCCACACCCCTATTTAAAAGAATCTCTCTAAAATGGTAAAAATTCTGTATGTAAATTTAGGAAGGTTCCATGAATTGAAAACTCAGATAATTTTTATGCATTCAAAAGTGTTTTTCTTTTCATTTCCTTAAATAAAAAAGATGGTATTTGCTTTACATATCAGCCATTATTAATGTTCTCTTTGTATTGTCATTTCAGTGTAAAAATTTGCTTGGTATATGAGTTAGTTTGTAAATACTTGTAAATTTTTTCTTTTTTGGGGTACATGCACTCGTAAAATTAAATAAGATAAAGTTTTACATACATTTGTTATAAAAATATATATATTCTAAGCATAAAATTTAGCAAACTATTGCTTAATTATAAGTTAAATACCCTAGCCAATCAAAGAACCGATTCCAGGGTCCCCCAAACATGAAACTGTATGTAATCACTTAGCTCAAAATATATGATTGCAAATTAAGAAATCAAGTCCCACTAATCTCTCTCCAGTGCTTTTCTTACTCTCTGTTCCATTTTATAAGCTCTTATACTCTTCCTCTGCCAAAATCCATGCCATAGATATAGTATCATCACTTAACTTGTCTTTTGTAGAGAAATTTTCTCACACGTTATAAATATGGTACTTCTCCTACACACCCAACAAGAAAACTCCTCATGAGTTCTTGAACCAAGCCATTATTTTAGTACCATCCCTCCCTTTCAGCTCTCACCACACATATATTCAAACATATATAATGTCAAGAACAGCTGCAGACACTCTCATTGTTGGTAGGGTAGTTGGGGATGTTGTTGATCCATTCATTCCAAGTATAAAGATGACTGTCACCTACAACAACAAGAGAGTCAGCAATGGACATGAGTTCTACCCTTCCGCAGTCGCAACCAGACCAAGAGTAGAGGTTCAAGGAGGTGATTTGAGGGATTTCTTTACTCTGGTATGTGGGTAAATCTATGCAGCTACCTTTTAATCCTTTTTTTTTTTTTTTTTTGTAGTGTTATCAATACATGAACTGGTACATATACACTTAATCATCTTTGCAGGTGATGACAGACCCGGATGCTCCTGGACCTAGTGATCCTTACTTAAGGGAGCACCTGCACTGGTACCATCCTAAAACTGTTCATATAAACCCGATGAGAAACCCTAGTTTAGGACACCAGCCCCTATAAGTATATAACCATCTATGCCAAACTTCATCTAAGATATATCCCATGTATCATGATAGTAATATAATATTAGAAAAACTCTAATACATATTTTGTCATGCACTTGGAAGACTAGAACTTTCTTTTCCATACAAACAGACCTACACAAACAGGAACATACTTTTTCCTTAACAAAAAAAAACTAAACAATTATACTCTGACCATATTTTACAGGATAATAACTGACATCCCAGGCACAACAGATGCAACATTTGGTATGCTATACCCTGCAACCCACTTTCTAATTTTTTTGAGATATATATAGTAGATCTCCTCTTACCTCTGAGTTTTCTGATTGTTGAGTTTTGTGGATCCAATAGGAAGGGAGGTGGTGAGCTATGAGATGCCAAGGCCTAATATTGGGATCCACAGGTTCGTCTTTGTTCTGTTCAAGCAGAAACGTCGACAGACCATTAACGCACCACCGTCAAGGGATCACTTCAGTACCCGAGATTTCGCCGCCGAGAATGATCTCGGCCTCCCTGTTGCCGTAGTCTACTTCAATGCACAGAGAGAAACCGCTGCAAGAAGACGCTAACCCTTCTCATGTTAGCACACTTTTAATTAATAATTTGCAAAGGCTCCTTGATTTGTCTCTGCAATACCATTTCTGTGTGCCCTTTGACCATATCCTTATCTAGTATTTTTGTGTCAGCTGAACTTGTGGTATGCCTACAAAGGTGGTCTTATTTTCAAAAGGATAATCATTACTCTCTCAACTCTTTTTTCCATTTATTCCCATCCTTTTCAGTTCAGTGCTTGGCTTCTCTTTTGTTTGAAATTTGAGTATGCCGTTCCTTGAAGCAACGGAGACAAACATATCCCACATACTCGTAAGGTTTTGGCGTTATAAAATAATTTAATGAGATTGTAATGTCCCAAATGCTATATTAATAGAAAGTGTAAATGAATTTGATATATAATTATAAAAATTAATTATTAATAATTTTTTAATTTAAATTTTAAAAACTCATAAATTTTAATTCAAAAAATTATTACATCAATTATAAGTTGAGTCAAATGATTGGAACAAAAATGTGGCCAAAATTGTCTTGGAAAAAGTTAAGTTGCTGTCAGACAGGAAAAAAATAAAAAAAAAGCTATATATGGTCAGTTACTCACCGATGCTTGTGCCAAAAAGAGAACATACATGTCCCAAAAGAAGAAAAGGGAAAATATAATTTGATCCCAGGCTCCGGCCCAACTGACTCTAGGATCATGAGCTGGAATCTTGGTTATGTCATTTTCCCGTTCTTTTATAATCATAATGCAAATGACAATTGTAAAAATTTTTCAGTAATTACGTGTTAGTGTATAAGGTGTTTGATTTTTTTTTAAATAAAATTTTAATTTTAAATTTTGTAAATAAAAAAATAAATATTAAAAAATAATTTTTTTAATAAGATTTGATGTGATTTGATTTTGAATTAATAAGGAATCAATGTATTATCGAATATCGAAAATTTTTTTAAAAAAAATCTACTTTTTTAACTGATTTTTTTGGAGTTAATAATTTATATTTAAATTTTAGTACTTAAACAAGGATACTTGAGAATTTAAATTTTATTAATTATTTAAATATTCACATTAAATTTACAGATTATTTATATTTCTTTCGGTTCATGAATTAGACCCATTCTTTTCCCCATGTAATTGCCTTTGTTTCAAAAAAAAAAAAAATCTACTCTTCGTTTGTTACTGTTAGGATTTGTATTCAAGGTCGGTGTCCTCTGGAAGCATTTCTTAGGCCTGTTGTTCTTCGCCTGAGTCATGCAGTTGTAAGTTTGTTACTTAGTTGTAGTTTCTATTTTTTTTTATATATATCAGGTAATAAATTATACAGTGAAAAATAATTTTTAAAATTTAATTATATATTTTATTATTTAAATTTAAAATTTTTAATAAAAATTTTAAAATTTTAATTAGTTAAAATATCGTATTAGTACTTTTTTTGTTTTTTTGGTGAATCGTATTAGTACTTTAGTTGTGGCCTTTTTGTTGTATGATTGTCCCCACTTGTAGATGTAGGACTCTATAAGTCCTATAGTCTGTGTACGGTATTTATTATTTTGCGTATCCTCTCCGATTCTGATACTATTGCATTTTTCTTAAGAAAATAAATAATATAATTTATTAAAAAATATTTTGTAATTTCAACTAAAAAACAAAAATTCATTGAATAATGATGGACCTTTAATACAAGTGAGACCTCACCATCTAATAGTTTAAAATTTTGATATATTTATTTTTAAAAAATTATTATAAAATTTAAATTACATAATAATAATTATTAAATAAAAGACGAACTCTTTAATATTAAAGTCTTTTTAAAAAAAATATATGAAAAAATTAAAAAAATTAATTATTTAATTCTTCTACAAATAACGGAAGCCCACATGCCCTACCACGATTGGGCTGTGATTCCGCCCGTGAATAACACAGATTGTGTTTTTTCATACGTGATCCTTCTAGGAAAAAGATCAACAGCGTGAACAATGAACAATACTATCATTGTAGTAGTGGGCCTAATGACAGTGGTAGCAGATAATAGAAGATGACGAAATGTTATGTCTACTTTAAGGGGATCAATTTTCAGTACTTCCACCTTCTCCTCCATTATTTCTCAAGTATTTGCATCAAAGAAACTAGTTTTATTTCCTCCAAGAGTGGGTATCAAAAACTTTATTTTTTGGGGTAAATAGAGAGAAAATTAATCAAGGATTGAACCACATCAGGCAGCTCTGAGAAGTTCGATTCCCATTATGTCTACATTACAAAAGATTTTTGCCCGATAATAGCAGTGCCTTTAGCTTATTATTATTATTATTATTATTTTACTAATCTTTTTATATCTGAAAGTTACATTTTTTATTAATTTAAAATCGAATTGTGTCGAATCTTATAAAAAAAATCTTACTAATATTTATTTCTCTATTTATAAAATTTAAACTTAAAACTTTATTTTAAAGAAATTAAACTCCTTCCGCACGAATTAATAAATTGTTAGTATTTTTAGCTTACCATTGAGAATTTGAACTGGAGTCTTAATTTAGATATATCCATCTACCAATTTTTCTTTTTTAAAAAAAGGGGACTTAAACAGTCTTGATCTTGTGGCAGTAGTAATAATTACAATCAATAGATTGACATGCATCTATTGGAGTTTAGAGAAAAGAAGGTCAGAGATCAACACTAAACAACCATTCCAGGTAAGTGCTTATGGCTCTGTACACGAACAGTCGGTGCAATCCAATGACATCCCAATTTAATGGATGCAATAACTAAAGTTATTTATTGGCACACAATTAATGCATTTTAGACGTTAGTCCAAAGTAAACTCCACTGCATAGGCACTTTCGGTTCCTATTACCCATCTCCAATCAAAACAATAACAAATTGTCCCTTGAACAGACTATCCTCTATTGGCCAACAAAATCAATGCTTCTGGTGAGAATGTAGTTACTGAAAAGTGACAACTATGGTCTATAGTTCCGAAAAGACATCTATGTTTCTTAATAAAGCAGACATAAGCCAATGTCATATTCCACTGCTTGATATTAGAGTATATGATTCTACTAACAAGAGTTTTTTCGAGTTGGTACTACTAACTTAAAATATTAATTTAAAGTCAAGATCAGATATTTAAACCTTTATATTATCAAATGGCTAATCTTTCGGTATATTAAGAAAAAGAAAAAAGTGTATATGATTCTAAAAATATTGATAATCCATAAGATAGAGGAAGAGGAATTTTTTTTTTTTTTTACTTTTCATCCAAAGCTGATTTTTACTCTCAAATATTGAGAATAAGATTAGATGGTGGTGAATAAAAGTCCTCAGTGGAAGGCATAATATTCTGTGCTTTCTTAGGGAGTAAGAAGATATCAGGTACGTTTAGATAATAGAGAGAGGTATTGTTGCAAGTCAATTACATCCCATGGCAACTAAATATAGCACAAGGCTTTTCATTCCTTAGGAACTCGTTTGGAGTACAAGATTGGATAAGATTTTAAAGACTGGATTGGACTGAACTAAATAAAATAAGTATATTTAAATCCAATATCATGTTTGGTTGATTGTTGGGTTAAATAGGGTTTTAGATAAAAATATTATTTGTTATGGACAAAATTACCCTTATCACAATTACACTGATCAAAATTTTGTTTTAATTTGTTTTACAATATAATGATATTATTAATAAATTGGCTGAAAAATATAACAAAATTCCAGTTAATTACCTTCAATATTTTACTTTGTTTCCACACAAAAATTCAAGTTAATTTTCATCATACATCCTCATTTTCAAGCAAACCCTAATTTTGTTTTCGAATATCTCTAAATTCCACAAAGTAAATTAATAGAGCAAAAAATAATGAAATTTGCTATAATTTTCCAAATTTCATTAAATTCAAAACAAAAAAGAATGAGGGTGAAATGAAATAGAGCATGACAAAATCTTTAACAGCATGAATTCCATAAAGCAAATTTGGAAAAATTAAGTAAAAATTAAAATTGCAAAATCGAATTCACTGGATGGTCTCAAATTTTCATTAACAGGTTCTAATTTTCAAAAAAACAACTCGAATGAGCAAAACCAATCTGATATCCTTTGACAAATTTCAAAATAACAGAGGCTAGAAAGACACACAACATAGAAGCACAAATAATTTCTATGCTCACTTCAAATCTACAAGGTAGTTAAGTATTGACCCGAGAAAAGATGTTGGAAAACCACTAAGAAGCAGCCAAAATTGCAGCCAAAAAGGAACCTCCATGCCCCAATCTTGGTTATTTTCCACTCTAATTCCTGCAATTGATCTTGTTTGAGTTTTAAGATCTGACAAAAATCAAGGAAAGAAGGATGAGAGGAGGAAGAAAGGGGGAAGAAAAGAGAAGAAGATGCAAGAGGAGGAAGAAGAGGTGAAGTCGCAAAGAAGTAGAATGAGAAGGAAGAAGATGAGGAGCTGGTTCTGAATGTTGATGGAGGAGATGGGTTCCCATGGCACCGGCATGAAAATCTGGGAAGGGGACAGAAAACGATTGGCCAGAGGAGAGGGGTAAAAAGTGAAAACAAAATTTAGTCCCGAGTTGACCCATGGGGTACATGGGATATAATTTATTTAATAAAAACAGGATTAGATTTTTATTTAGTAAAGGGAAAAAGAGGATAACCAAAAAAAAAAAAAGAATCCTGCAACATCTACAAGGAGGTTGCCTCCGATAAACCATAGAAAAGGAAAAACAATGCAAAAGTTTGATGAGCAATGATCCAGTAACCAGAATATGTAGTGCATGAAAGCAAAGCAATAAAGGCTAACCAGAAAAAATCTACCGTTTACTCTACAGCAAACTAAAATCGATGTAAAAACACTGCAAAGCAATAAAGTCTACCCAGAAAAAAATCTATTGTTTTCTCTGCAGCCAACTAAAACTACTATAAAACACCTTTGTGTATATTTGCCAAATGCCTGTACAATTGATTCACTCAAATGGGCTGGTCTTCTAAAGATTTAGCTATAGCCCAAGGTACAACAAATGAACAGCTTTACATTTTGATAATATTCTATTTACATCAAATTAAAGGTATACCATGACTACAAAATACAAGTCAGAAATCCAAAACAAACTATGCCACCATTAGATACAGGCTACAGCAGGCACCAGATTAGATTTTTATCTTCTAAACATGTCAATGACGAGGTGAAGAATATAAACTCAACGAATAACACCAATCACAAATAAAAACTTCCTGACCGCCATTACCAACACATCTCCTCACAATAAAGATAGGAATATGAACTTCAGAAATCATGATAGTTTTTACAGTAATGTTTCAAGTGCGGTAATAACACGAGCTGAATGCAATATAAGTAAACCCATGTTAGTCAAATAATGCATTTCTGTGAATTCTGGTTGAGTTGAGAACACTTCAATAATGCATTTGTATAAAACCACAGAATAACAGCAGCAAACTAATCCAATTATTATTGGACAATCATGCAGAGCCTTTATCCACATCAAAATTCAAAAAGAGGATCAATTTACACTCATGCCAACTTCTACACCACACAATGAACTCCACCACCAACAGCACCAGATTCATCATGTAGCCTCTAAGAACTACCCAAAATGGGGAGAAGAAAAGAGCTACAATCAAAATATAACGAGAAGAGAAAACAGAGTGTAAATCAAGAAACACGCGTACGCAATGAGACCACGATGCTCCTCGCCTCCATCAGCGAGCGCCACCATCAGATTCGTACAAGCCCTTGTGGCCCACAACACGAACACCCCAGCCAAGACGTATCTAGCGACGCCTGCCCCCTGCGGCAGGAAAAGCGACAGAGAAGATAAGATCACCACCGGCAGCATACAGTACCCAACCACGCTAGTACAGGTATGCAGATCCAGATTCCCGTTCCTCCCGGCCAACATGTTAAAAACTACATACAGAAAAATCGAGGAAACCACAATCCATCCCAAAATCACGCCAAATTGGATCTTCCCCGCGAGTAATTGAAACAAGCAGAATGACAAGTAGAGGAATATCGGGCCGGAGAGATCAGAATCTTTGTGAACGACAGGGTTGATCCGGAAGGGATTGAGGATGGACTTAGTTTTCTGCCAGATTTGATCGGGGTGAATACCGAGCTCGTCAAGTAGGGGTTCTTCCTCTTCGAATGATGCAGGACCCGTAGCTACCGACGTGGAGATGGAACCGCCGAATGACGCAGAAGACGGTGCGGCGGAGCCGATGTCGAAGGACATGAAGGGAATGGTAGAGGACACGGAGGGACGCGGTGGTTGAAACGGCGCCGTGGGCATGCGTCGCTGATTGAGATTTCCGCCGGCGGGGTTGCCGCCGGAGGGGAAAACTACCGGAGGCACCGTGAATTCCTTCGTCATTAGCTTCGATTGTTGGTTATTCTTTTTGGGCCGATGATGAGCGTTAGGGCTCCGATAGTGAATTGCTTTCTCTTCCTTAATTGGGGAGATCTCGGTTATGAGTATTTATGGGGGCGAGGGAAGGAAGGGCAATTATGACTTTTCGCTGAGATTGTTTGGGTCTTCTGGGGGAATTGAGTCGATTGACGGTGGGAGATTGGTTGAGTGATAATTTTCGAATGACTATGATTACGTTATTGCCCTTTTTAGATATTTGAATTCCAATTTCTGAATTTTCCAATGCCTCACGGCCCTCAACCGATGTAGATATGTAGTTTAATTTCATGCTGATTTATTAATTTTGTAATTTTTTTTAATCATTATTAATTTGGTAAGAAAAAAAGGTTTTTTAGTTTAAACAACAAAATATAGTACTTTTAAGTGAGTTAACTTAAGAAATCACGTGACAAAATATGACACTCTTTAGTAAGTTAACTTAGGAAATCATTACATTGTGATATGTAAATTAATTGTCTTGTATTAGTTCAAATTTAGTGTACTTTACTATGGATTATAAAAAGAGAAAAAAAGAAAAAGAAAAAGAAAAAATCCACTAACACTAATAATTTATTTGGTTTAAGGGAAAGGAAGTTGAATTATAAATGAACTGAAAAAACTCATTAACTATTCGATTTAAGCATAACTCAAGGTTGAGTTGTTTTTTTGTCCAAAGGGAATTGGGGGTAAGGGGAAGGGGAAATAGGGGTAATAGGACTTGAACTCCGCTGACGTGAGTGAAGAACCCACACAGTGATTACACAAGTCACACATTAAGATTGAGTTGTTTGCTAAATGAATCGAGTTTAAACTTAATTCCAAGCTCAATAAACAATCAAGCTTGAGTTTGAACTTATATGTTTGCAAGTAGCTCATTTAAATTAAAAATTTTAATAAATATATTAAATCAAAAAATATACAAACAAGTATCCTTTAAAACAACATCCCAATTTTCACTTATTTTATCTTCTATTATTCTTTATTCTAGAAAGTGCTATTTTAGAAAACCAAACTTCCCAGTTATCATATTATTCAAAGCCCTCTTTTGTATTTTTTGGTAATTATTC